ATGAAAATTGAAAAGCAAAACTGGTTTTATTTAAAAGAAATGTACTAATGCTCTAATATAAAGCAATCCATAAACCCAGTAGAATTTATGACTTTTGGAGCATGGCTTTAGCTGTGATATTAATTTATATAAGTATAAATGTTCAAAAATACAGTCAGCATAATTCACTTCAAATAATTTATTTTTAAAAACAACCCAGTGCTTTATGGATCAAAGCATTACTTCATCTCACTTCGTAAGATAAAAATAAGTTCTGCCACTTTATTCTTAGTCATGTACATTTACCTCAGCAGGAAGAACACTAACTCTAAAAGAATTTGAAAAAAAATTAGTAGCTAAACCCAGGGATGCTCATTTGTATTACCAGACATAAATGTCATGATACTGCATGGCATTCTTTAGGAACTATTTAGAAACTGGATTTTATTATTTTCCTTTTAAGAGCATAATGTGGCTTCATAGTTCCCCCACTTTTTATGTAATCGCAAGTGAACTTCCAATATTCTAGGGAATTGTCTTCAGGTACTACAATGTAATGACGGAGGTTCTCCTTGACTCCCTCCACTTCCATTTATTGGTAGTCTCCTAACTAATGTCACAGGCTTTTAAAACCATGTCATTATAAAATGATTCTTATTCAACCCTGCTTTTCCCAGACACATCTTTTGCCTTTGGAATTATTTCAACTATTGGACAAAATGTTTCCACCGATGGGTTAAATATTAAGTATGCGGCCCATTTATGTTGTTCTCCAACATCATTTCTCAGTGTGTTCCATGGACCACCTCCAGAGTCACTTAGGATGCTTTTTAATAATACAGATTCCTTGGCCCTATCCAGATTTACTAATTCAGAGTCTCTGTTGATATAGTCCAGGAACATGCCTTTTAAAGAAGCAACTTAGATGATTCTGATGCACATTAAAACTTGCAGTCCACTAGAAGGATACTTATTTAAAGGAGATGTGGTAGGGTGTGAGGAAATGACATTTTAAGATGTCAACCCAGTAAATTAATAAGGATCAGCTTTTTAATTTTAAAAATAAAGAAGTAGGGCAGAATGACTTTTCAATTTCCTTCCAGTCTTTAAATCCTGAGAGTATTTTCCTCCTTTGTATGTGCTTTTAACCTTTCAGTTTTGTTGTGTTCAGGCTTCTCCTGAGAATGCTCTATTTTGGTCTTTCAGACTGTTGTAAGTACTTCTATTGGCAACTTTAAAAACTGGATTAATTTTTTATCAAATCTTTTTAGGATTTAAACCTTTGTAATGGCAATCAAAGATGGGTTTTAGAACATTATATTTGAGTTGTTCATTTCCTTAAGGTCTCAGTATTTCAAAGTCAATCTGATATTAGCTAAGGGGATGGGGGGAGGAAGGAGATACCACTAATCCATCAAATGGTACAGTTTTGGCTGAGGACTTTCAAAACCTTAGAAGTTAACACCAAGCCTTTTGTAACTTTTGAAGGGTGATAGTGGAGGAAAATATTTTCTGTTAGCAGTATAGACTGAAGCCAACATTAATACTGGTTCAAATTGAAGTCAATACTCTTTTCATTGAAGTTGTTTTAGCAGTAAAATTCCCCATTAAATATTTCTTAAAGTTAGGAAAACAAAATGCACTTACAGATGTTGAATAAGAGCTTCTTAAATTGACTTACGAAATTTCATTAAAAACATTTGATCTTACTTGAAAGCAGCTTAGAAAAAGAAAGTAATAAGTGCTTTTCATACTGCTGAATTAAAATCAGACTGCTTCTCAAAAATTATGTTTCTTTCTTTATGATGTCAAACCATAATTTATTGTGTCTGAATCTGTGAGTGACTTGTCTACCTTAATTAAATCCTCAGAAAAAAATCCCCATAGTATTTATTAAAGAACAAATACAGTAGATGCAAAACAAATAGTTTTTCTTGGAGATAAACATATATATTCAAGATCGTAGGGGGGAGTAATTTGAGGAGTACAGGACCTAGCTCTCTGATGGATTTAATATTTTGATGCTCCATCTTTCTGTTGACTAACACATCCCTGGCTTAATACTAGAAACAGATGCATTTCTTCTACTTATGTTTTGATCCAGAAAGCAAGAGGGAGTTTGTGTATCTCCTTTTGACATTTCACTTTGAGGCCTACTATTGAAGGCCCTATTCTTTTTGTTTTTCTCAATAGATTAAATATATATTTATTTAGTTACAGGAAAGTATGCATTTAATATCAATGCAGGCAACAGACACACAACTTCTTCTCACTGCTTGAGAAAAGAAGGTGAGGAGGTGATTGGCAGACCAATTATAAATGTCCCCCAGAGATTGTGCTTCCATTACTGCCAGATAACTCACAGAAAATGTAATTCTGCCCATTTACAAACAAAACAATATAGAAACTGATACAAAATGTCTAGAATTTCATATTTCTTTAGCTAACAGTTTAAAAATGACAATAGAAAATGAAAAGCAGCATTGCAGTTTGAAGATTAAATTCCTGAAAGGAATGCTATTTTAATGTATAGACAACTTTCTCAGAATTTCAGTATTATTATAGTTGGCGCAGACAATTACATATGTGAAGGCCATACTCATAGAGACAACTGTGCTTTTGTATGGCCTTCTTAAAGTAATAAACATTGGGTTGATATAAGAAGCCAGCAGGCAGCTTCACTGATATATTTTTAAGGCAATAATTTATTTTTCTCTTTTCCATTCTACATTCTTTCCTTCCTTCCTAACTTTTCACTGCTTGTCTGAAGCTATTCAGGAAGTAGATGACAACATGTTGATAATTATCTTTCTGCTGCTGGAGACGTTTTATCATATTCAGAGAATCTAAATGAAATATTGAAAGAAAATCTTGTTTTTTGTTTTAAACTTTTTTTTTCTTTTTTCTCTTGTATGAGAGACAGCTTTGCTGGAGTTGTCTTGAATGCAAAAGCAAAACTGGGCCTAGAAAATATATATGATTATATGTGTAATCATATATATAATTATAGCTCACTTTTCTTCTGAGGGGCTTTTGTGTCTACTTCACAGGATATTATAATGATATATTGTCAAAAAAATGTTTTTGACAACTTATAAAAACATGACAGTGCAGCTTGTATGATCCAACGGAATTCTGGTAAACTTAGAATTAAAAAGAGAGGAGATAGAGAGGCCAGTTTGGAGAATGAGAAAGAAATGATGTCTTTTTGGCAAGGAGTCAAATGCTCAATTCACTGTGTTTTAGAATTCCAATGAGTTTGATCTCTCTGGCCCAGAAAACCCAACAGGAAACTGAGCTTGATCTAGACTGCAAGTGAATGTTTGATATCCTTCTGACTCATTATGGCCCTGTGTGGAAGGAGAGACTATGCTAAGCAAATATTTGCACACTGCACTGAAAGGAAATAAAAAATGCATTACAAATGAGTTAGTCAGTTGACCTCATGTTGTTTGATTAGAAGTAATTTCTCTTGGACTTCTCATTGCCTATAAGTGCTTTTCCTTTTTTGACATCTAATGATGACACTGGCATAAATAGTCTCTGAGTATCTTCATGTTTTCCTCTTATATTCCCTGTAGACAGGGTAATTACCTCTCGTACTCTTCATGGGGCTTGTATTTTGCATCCGGTAAGACCAAACACAGTTGCATTGAACCCATCCTTTTCTTCAGAGAGCACTTCCCACTTTGTCTCTAATTTTTCAGTGTTTTAAAGTAAAGGGATCAGTAGAAGGGTTTTCTAAGATAACATTTTGTTTTTTCATTTCTAACTAGTTGAAATATGTCAAAGCAAGCATAGTCAGAAAGGGTCTTATATCAGGCACTGCCAAGTAATATCGTTTGTGACAGGTGTTTGTCATTTGTGATCATGGTTAGTTTTTAGCCTTAATAAGTATTATTATTTTACCTGTTATCAGTGAGTGATAAGACAAAAACTGACTAAATGCTTAAATGAGGTGTTTGGGACCCCACAGAGATCAAGAGTTGAGGTATTCCTGAGGGTTTTGCTATAGTTAAATGGAGAAAAGCAGAATTTAGTCATCCCAAGGCACATGGTAGCCTGGGCATGCCAAACTCAAAAGAATCTATACTATAGCAGTCAGCACCATATGCACAATTTAAGCACCCATTTGGTTTCACCAAAATATCGTCACTTTATATTAAATTAATATTATTGATTGAATTTTATTGGCTTACATTTTTTACTTTTAAGCATATTAGGATTCTATAATTATATAAAACTCTAAGTGTAAGGAAAGTTATTCCTAGTTTTATATGGGTACAAATTTAGGTAATGTAATAAAAAGTAATTCAGGTTGGAGGTATATGTGATAATTTTTCTCCTCTGTAATGGCTTTGTCCTTGAATGATGTCAAACATAAACACAGCTGGACATTAGTTCAAGTGGAGAAAACAGGTTTTATTCAGTAACTATTGACAGTAAGGGAAAGAGCTCAGCTCAATTCTGATTTGTGCAGAGGTGACTATGTGTTTTGGGAGAATGAAGGCGTAGGGAGGGAGAACAGCAGGGGCCTGAGCAGAGTCAGGGAAGTGAAAAATTACTAAAAGTGGGAAGTTGGGGTTCATCCATGTGAAACCCATGTGGGTTTCCTAATTGGTGTTTATGGAAGTTAGACTCCTACACTTCCACAGTGACTGGGAGACAGGGGCCCTATCTTCAGGTAAATTCTCTTTGGCAGCCTTGAGTTTTCTCAGGCAGGCACTTTAAGGGGGGCCAGAGTCATCCTGGGGTGTGGTCTTGAGCTATCAGAAACTATATTAGTGTTTGTTCAAGTCTTTTTATGCCAAGGTTGAGGCCTAGTTGAGAAGATGGCTCAGAGGAGCCTGACTGCAGTTTGGTCCAGGAGAGAACCTTTATCAGTGATATTTAGAGAATGGGAGTATGTCCTCACTTTCTTATGGTAAACAGTGACTGCTATGTATTAACTGTTGTTAAGACAGCTTGATTTTAAAATCTTAAATAAAAAAAATATGAAAGATTATGCTATTTTGTTTCAGGGCCGAGATTTGGACTATAAAATTCAGGAATATAAAGAAGCTGGAAAAACCTTTCCAGAAAATCAAATAATAGAATGGTTTATCCAGCTGTTGCTGGGAGTTGACTACATGCATGAGAGGTATGTTCATTCGGTACCAGGGGACAACATATATCTTTAACAGTCATGTCTGAACTTGGAAAGCGAAAATTTTTTTTGGTAGAATTCAAAAGACATAAGGTCCAAAAGGTAAATGGCTATAGTCAAACATCTACAATGTCTTTTTCCTTGGAAACTGTCGAATGATTATATCCATAGGATGTAAGCTTTTTTTGTTGTTCTGGAAATCAAGTTGGCCTTGAAAACAAGACAGAAACTTGTATTAAACACATTCCCTTATATCTGATTATCTCCTGTGAATTACAAGTGATTCTCAGATACCTTTAGCATGCTATGAATTTATTGTATCTTATAGCAGGCTTGAGTTGTAAATACTGTAGTAGTATTCCTCAAACGAGTTGGGTGGTCACCTTGGAATGTGTCATTGCACACTTAGTTGGGTTCACATCCAAAGATGTGCTGAGTAATTGAGGCAGGAGACATCTTTTGGCCTGAGAGAGAGAAGTATTCAGACAAAAAGTCAGTTTTGATGTGAAATATCTGATAAAGAAGGTCAAAGTGTGTTTTATGTTTCAATTGTATGTAATTTGCATTTACAATCTCTGCCTCAAAAATGTATTTTAAAACTTTTAGTGATTTTTGTATACGTCAAAAGTAAAACATTTTAGATGTTTTATGTTTTATACACTCATAAAATGACATAAAGGCATTTGAAAAGATGAACATAAATAGAGAAAGTAGATGTTCTGAGGCATCTATGGTAGCTTTCACCTTGGGAGTGGGCGTAACACATAGTAGCATTCTTCTTGAACAATAGTGTTAATTTATCGAGCACACCAAGGTCTGGCCATCCATGAATGTCAGATTGCTTAAATGTGTCATCTGTGGTTTCTGATAACATGAGAAGTAATCGGATTATTCTGTAATTTGCCATGTATCTTCTGAAACACATGCTCGATGAGACAGATAGCTACTAATTTATTGACAACTCATAATCTTTTGAATGATGTCAAACTATCCTAAGAGACAATGATAAAGGAATATCAAATAATTTGTAGTAAACTACCCAAAGCTGCTGACTGTAAGACTTCTATGTACATATATTTAATACTGGTATTTCTTTTTTTTTCTTTACTACTCCTTGGCATATCTTGTACATAAAGAAAACAGTTAAAAAAAATAGCACATATAAAGATGCCAACTATGGTGTTCTATATGCAAAATATAAAACTGAAATCTGATTGATTTAAGAACCAAAATGTTCTTGATACACTTAAGACTGCTTAATAATACTTAAAATAGTGAGTTTAAAATAACCCTTCAAAGGGAGGATTCTGATGTTTTTTAATCCTTCAATATTAAAAGAAAATCATTAAATGGGGCTAAGTATTTGTATATTTGTGGATCTGTAGCTCTACAATACCATCCTATATGATTCAGATAACAAATGATGGTGCCTCTTATTTACTATGTTATTATAAAAAATTGTTGTAAAGTTTTTCTGATAAATCATTTCGCATTTTACATTTAGGTCTATGATCAATTTTGAGTTGGTTGTTGTGAAGGGTATGAGGTCTGCATCTAGATACTTTTTCTTTTCTTTTTTTGCATGTGGATGCCCAATGGTTCCAGCACCATTTGTTGAAAGGTTCTATTGTATTGCCTTTGCTTCTTTGTCAAAAATCAGTTGACTATAGAGGGGTCATCAAAAAGCTCATGGAAGAAAAGTTCATGGAAGGATTTATATTATTCTTTAATTCCATTTTTCCACAAACTTTTTGAAGTACCTCCATATTTGTGTGGTTCTATTTCTGGGCTCTTTAATTCTGTACCATTGATCTATTTACCTATTCTTTTATCATTGCCACACTGTCTTGATTGCTGCATTTTATAGAAAGTCTTGATGATGGGTAGTATTGGTCCAACTTTGTTTTTCTCCTTCAGTATTGTATTAACTACTGTGGGACTTTTGCCTCTCCATATACAGTTTAGAATCAGTTTATCAATTATCACAAAATAACTTGCTGCAGTTTTGATAGGGATTACATTTATTCTATAGATCAAGTTTGGAAGAACTCACATCTTGACAATATGGAATCTTCTTATCCATAAACATGGACTATTTCTCTATTTTTAAGTTCTTTAATTTCATCAGAGTTGTGTAGTTTTCCTCATATAAATCTTGTACATATTTTATTGTTTTTTTTTTTTTCCTTTTTGTCTTTTTTCGTGTCCGGCAACGGATCGCAGCGTCGCGCCCGTACCGGACCGGACCTTACCGGCAACGGGATCACAACCCTCGGTGTTGCGCCTGCACCTCGCTCAGCCAGTGAGCGGGAACCGGTCTGTATGTGGGATCCGAACCCTCAGCAGGAGTGCCGCCGCACTCCCAAGCGGCGCACTGTAGCAGTGCGCCACCGGGCCGGCCCCCATATTTTATTGTTTTTGTACCTAAGTATTTCATTTTTGGGGGTGCTGATGTGTAAACAGTATTATGTTTTAAATTTCAAATTCCACTTGTTCATTGCTAGTATATGGGAAAATGATTGACTTTTGCATATTAACCTTGTGTCCTGCAGCCTTGCTATAATTGCTTATTAGTTCATATTTTTCTTAACAAAATTGATTCTTTTGGATTTTCTACTTAGGTAATCATGTCATCTATGAGCAAAGACAGTTTATTTCTTCTGTCCCAGTCTATATAAATTTTATTTCCTCTTTTTTTGTTTTACTTCATTAGCTAGGACTTCTGGTATGATGTTGATAAACAATGGTGAGAGGTGACATCCGTGCCTTGTCCTGATCTTACCAGGAAAGCTTCGAGATTATCTCCATGAAATATGTTAGCCATGGGTTTGTTATTGATATTCTTTATCAAGTTGAGGAAGTTCTCTTCTAATCCTATTCACTGAGAGTTTTTATCACCAATGGGTGTTGGATTTTATCAAATATTTTTTTTTGCATCTATTGATATTATCATGTGCCTCTAGGCTTTTTTTAACCTCTGGCTTCTTTCAGGATTTTTTTTTCTTTATACTTGATTCTTTTGCCATCTGAAATGATATGCCTAAGTTTAGTTCTTCTGATATTTATCCTGTTTGGTGTTCTCTGAGCTTCCTGAATCTGCTGTGGTTTGCAGTCTGACATTAATTTGGGGGAAATTTTTAGTCATTGTTGTTCATATATGTCTCTTCTTTCTTTCTCCTTACTTCTCCTTTCTGGTATTCCCATTAGATGTTATGTTTCACCTTTTGTAATTCTCCCCTGGTTCTTGGATATTCTGTTCTGGTTTTTTTTTTTTTTTTTTTTTTTTTTTTTTTTTTTTTTTTTTTTGGTCTTTTTTCTCTTTGCTTTTTAGTTTTGTAGGTTTCTATTGAGATATTCTTAAGCTCGGAGTTTTTTTCCTTCATGGTTTTTTTTTTTTTTTTTTTTTTTTTTTTTGGTCTTTTTTCTCTTTGCTTTTTAGTTTTGTAGGTTTCTATTGAGATATTCTTAAGCTCGGAGTTTTTTTCCTTCATGGTTTTTTTTTTTTTTTTTTTTTTTTTTTTTGGTCTTTTTTCTCTTTGCTTTTTAGTTTTGTAGGTTTCTATTGAGATATTCTTAAGCTCGGAGTTTCTTTCCTTCATGGTTGTTATGTTTTTTTTTTTTTTTTTTTAAATCTCTAGCATTTCTTTTTTGTTATTTGTTGGAATTTCCATCTCTAACCCTACATTCCCCATCTGTTCTGGAATGCAGTCTACTTTATCCATCAGATACCTTAGCATATTAGTCATATTGGTTTTAAATTCCCAGTCTAATAATTCCAGTATCCCAGACATATCTGAGTCTGGTTCTGATGCCTGTTGTATCTCTTCAAACTGTGTAATTTGCTTTTTAGTATGCCTTATACTTTTCTCTTGATTGTCAGACATGATCTAATGGGTAAGAGGAACCACTTTAAATAGGCCTCTAGCAATGTGGTAGTAAAGTATTGGGGGAGGGAAAGTTCTATAGTCCTATCATTAGTTCTCAGTCTTTTAGAAAGCCTGTACTTCTGGACTATGAACTTTACACATGCTTCTCAGTCCGCCTCCCTCAATTACGTGGAACAGAATGGACAGAGTGGGCAGGAGTTGGGTACTTCCCTTCTCCAATGTGGAAGGCTAGAGCAGGCTAGAGTTGAATACTTCTCTCTCCCCAGGTCAGTTATGCTCTGCTAAGACCCCCCAGGTTAGGCTATGGCTAAATTGTTTCTCCTGAGGGCAGGCCTTGTTAAAATGAACAGAATGCTGGGGTATATTTCAATATGGTTCTTTTCATCTCCTGCCAGAAGCACGAGGGGATTTTTCTTCAGCATTCACTGTGAGTACTTGGTAGAGCTCCAGCAGGTAATTCTCACAAAAGTGTGGGAGCTCCCTGATGAGAAGACCCCCTGGAGTTTTTATCTCTCAGCCTCCAGCAATTTGTCAGTTATAGTTCAGGTTTCCCTACCCAGCACTGGTTCTTATGTAGGTTTCTGCTCTGGTAAGTTGTCATTCTCTGTATTCTCCTGTTGTCTCTCCAATTTTGGGGTCAGCAGTTGGCCCTGTGACCTCACTTCTCTTACAGATCTAAGAAGAGTTGCTGATTTTTTCAGTTTGTTCAGCTTTTTACTTATTGTTTGGATGGAGTGGCGGCTTCCAAGTTTCTTACCTTCTGGACCGGGTTTGCTTAGCTTTTTAGCCTATTAGCAGCTGCTTTCTCATTGTCTTGCTCCTAAACAGCTTAGGATGCAGCAAGTTCGTCAAGGGTAAAAATTCATGCAGAATGTCAGGTTCACTTCTCTTTTGTTTTCTTTTCTCTGGAAAATTTGTCCTTCCAGTTCTGGCTGCCATGCTAGCCCTGAACCACAATGTTTGCCTTCCAAGCCCAGTAAAATGGCCACAAGCATTCTGCTTATGCCAAATGCTGTGAGAGGAAAACACAGTGACAAATGCTTGGCTTGCCTGAGTGCATTTCCCTTCTATCCAGGGTCTGGCCCCTCAAGTGCTGAAGGGCTTGGTTTTCCCAAGCTGATCTCTTGTATCTTCAAAGAGCTGTGGAAGGTGGGAGATTTGATGTGATATGATTACTCAATCATAGTTGGAAGCTGAGGTCTTAATCTTGAGTTAATTTCAATAATCACATTTTTTCCTCCAGAAGTTCTATTTGGTTGTTTCTCACATCAGCATCATCTTCTTTTGGTGTTTCTATTTGTTTCTATCTCCTATTTCTATTCCCTTGTGATTTTAATAATTGAAAGTATACTTTATTTTATAGTTTATATTTTATTTGATTATCTGAAATTCTCAGGGGTCTAATTTTATTGTTTCCTGCTGATTCTTAGTTTATGTTTGCTTCTGCCAGATGCCCCAACAGGGTATTAGCAGATGAGGACCAATTTTTATGTTAATTTCTTAGCTTGGGATTTCTGAGACCATACAGCTTTTGAATATTTGTATCCCAAATATGAGTGAGAAGAGAGATATGGTTACAAAATATGAAGGGAGATATTCTTTCTTCACTCAGAGTTCAGACCGATATAGATAAGCTTTCTTGTCATTTTGTTTACTTGTGAGTGATTGTTTCTCCTGCAGGACACGCTCAGCTGCTGGCTGAGTCTCCCCAAAATTAGATACCGAACTCATAGGTCCGGCTGCCTACACCCAGACAAAAGCAAACAACTCAAAATCAAAAGTAGGTGAAAATAGAAGTCAGCTTTTATTCAGGAATCCTGGTGACCTGAGGACAGATGTTGGGCTAACCCATCTTTCCGGAAAACCTGAAGGAGAATGGCCAGGCTAAAGCCATCTCAAGGACTCAGGTTTACTGAGGGGTTTTCAAAGAGGACAATGAAGGAATGGAATGTGGGAAATGAAAAGCAGGAGGGAGGGTCACGTGAGCAGTGAGGGCTTCATGCAAGGTCTCAGGTGCAAAGACTTGCTGAGACTGTCTGGTTTCTGCTCCCATCTTTGCTGTTATCTCAGGGTCTGGGTAGTATGTGTGAGTCTGCAGCTTCAGGCTGGCTGGAAAACAACTTTATATTCATGTAAATAATATCATCTTGCCCTATAACCTAGGTTCAAAATATCAAATAACCAAGGGAAAACTCAGAGACATGCCAGAAAAAAAACTGTCTTTTTAAAATTTGCCTACAGCCCACACGGTTTTACGTTCCAACATGGCTTCAGTCCTGTTCACTCCAATATTTCTTTCATTTCAAGTGTGGGCCATGTGTAGGATTCTAACTTTATATATGTATGTTAGCTCCAAACTCCACATTACGTGGGCTAAAGGTCGTGGCTCTTATTTCTGTGAGGTCATTAAAGCCAGTTGATTGATGGTGGTATCGAGTTCAAATGTATTACTGAGACCAGCACAATCCCCTAAGGCAGCTGGGAAACAGCACCTTCTGCCCACTCTGATTTTCAATTTCTTTTTGTACAATCCTCAGGGAGTTAGCCTCATTTTTGTGTGAGCTCACCTGTGCATATGTAAAGATATTTGTTTGCTTGATTCAGCATTTTTATATATTGTAGGCAAAGATTTTCAAGTTGTCTAATTCTCTGAAATTCCAGAAATAAAAGTCTAAACTGACATAATTTTCATTGCTAGCTTGTACTAAGACTCAATAAATGTTACTTATTACTAAATATCATCACCAACATTATTTCCACAAATACACAAAAACTGATCATTTGGGTAACAATAGATTATAAAGCTTTATGATAACTCGACTATTAACTGAGGTTATGGTTACTGGATATTAGTACTATGTAGATCGTGCTACAAAAACAATAAAATCTGGCCTATTGAAATAGTTGAAAGCGTATCACCCTTCTCCCAACTACATGTTCCCCTTCCTTTAAAACCTTTATATTAAAACTCCAGTTTCCTCAGGGAAACTAGAAAATGTTGTGGATTTGTAGCTTTTGAACATTAAAAGGTATAACCATGGGAGTATATATTTATTTGTGAATCATTTCACATATAACAATATATATTATTTATATATGGATTTTAAAATTTTATATTTTGCATGAAGTTGTATATTCTCTTTTGCCTTTTGTAGGAGGATACTTCATCGAGATTTAAAATCAAAGAATGTATTTCTGAAAAATAATCTACTTAAAATTGGTAAGATTTTAAAAATATGTGTTCCAAAAACACAGGAGAGTATATTCTAGATGTTATATCAAATTGAAGTATATGGTATATGGAAGTGTTAGAGTAATCATTGGTTTATTTAAACTACTCAATTTTTGTTTTCACCTGGTTGAACCCAATAAAACTCAATTATTCTGTTTTTGATTATCTCATAAGTTGAGGTTTAAAACATTTACTACATAGTAGATTTAACAAATATACTTTGAGTTTCTACTTTGTGCCAGGCACTTTGCAGGTGTTTAGATTTATTTTACTGGTTTGATTAATCACTACAGGTTTCACATGTATTTTATCACAGGCAATAGTACTTATCATAGATAATCAAAACATCGCTATAATGGCTTTATTAACCTTTAGTTCTTCATAACTGTCCCTCCACTCAGGAATTACTAGATTGTCTAATCATTAGTAGGAAGTTCTTAGGGAAGGAAGGATTAAAAGCATGCAATTGATTAGGCAAGAATAGAGAAGCTGATGAATTCAAATTTTTATAGGCCTGTTCTTGAAAAAATTTTTCTTTAGCTTTTTTTTTTATCAAGTGTCTACTTCTCATAATTCCAGAAATAAAGAATTTTAACTCACATAATTCACTTTTCTTGGTTCAAAGTCTTCTTTCTCCTATAAAGCTTATGTTTTTAAAGCTATTTACCAACATCGTGTTATTTAAAATATATCACTTTTCTTAACCTTTAAAGTGATATGAACCATTGCATAATAAAATGGTCAAATTAGACATTCATTCAGTTGTAAATTTCCAGTACTGATTTTTGTTGTTTTGAAGTATTCATAAAAATCAATCATTATTTCAAGGTGATTTTGGAGTTTCTCGACTCCTTCTGGGATCTTGTGACATGGCCACAACTTTAACTGGAACTCCCCATTATATGAGCCCTGAGGCTCTGAAACACCAAGGCTACGACACAAAGTCGGACATCTGGTGAGTGGGCATCTAGTCCAGATGACTTCATCTGCTGCTGTGAGAGAACAATGCATTCTGTTTTTAAGCTCCTTTACTTACTACATCTACCGTCTTTATCCTTTTGACATATGAGTCATTCTGGAACCAGAGTAAAAGAAGGTCTTTTGGATTTGGAACTTGATATATTCCATTAAATTGATTTCGAAAATTTTCTTTATTCATAAATTAATTGGTTGGTTGGATTTTTAGTTCCGGAACTAAAGGAAAGTTCTTAATATATCATAAACGTTAAATTTTGATACCTTTCTGCTAAACTATTAAAGTGTTTGTTACCCTAAATACTGTGGTTTATTTTAACTTCCAGCTCTGTGTGTGATGTATAGCTTTTCTGCATTTTTTTTTTCTTGTCACTTTGAAGAATTTTACTAAAGATGTTGGCTTTAAGGATAAACTAAATTAAATAATTTCTGGGTTTTCAGTGATAGATGCATTTGAAATTTCTCAGTTTCTCTGAGCGCTTGTGTTAAAGGAATTTCTTCTTTTTTTTTGTCATGCAACCAGTGTAAATCTCACTGGAGAGGTCATGTGGAAAATTGTGTTCAATATGTTCTGTTGTAAACAATAGATCCTATTTGGGGAATATTTCTTTTCCTTTGAAGGGGGATCTTATATAATTTTCAGCTTCTTAAAAGTTCAAAGGACAATCTGAGAGCTTGTTAATTAAGTAAATAATTATTACATGCAAATCATCATAAGTAGTTCTGAGCTTTTGGAGATGAGCAATGTGAAAGATGTACCCACTTCATTCCTCTAAAGAAGATAAAGTTTTCTCTGCCTAGAGAAAAGTGAATGACAACAGGGGATATGGCTTGGGATTTTCATAACGGTCATGATTCTGTTTTTGTTCTGGTGCTTCTCAAGTGGGAGAGAACACTGTCAAGATTAGGTCTGGCTATGACAGTTCCCCATAAATCCTGTCCCTTCAATTTAATCTTGTGATTATTTCTTTCTAGGTTCTTCACTGTTTTTTTTTTTTTCCATTGTTAGCTTACTTCTTCCCTGAAGGTCTTTTCCAATATACCTATCATCTTTCCTCCTTCTTCCCTCTAACCCAGCTGCTCCCCACCACCCAACAAAAGGAAAGAAGAACCCCAAACCACAAAGTTTGTTCAGAGGAATGAGTGCCTTTAAATTTTGCTTTATTGAGCATTTACTATTTGCCCAAGACTGCAATAGCCCTTAGGGTATAAAAGGAAAAGTGGTAAAATTCCTGTCCCTCAGGAGAAATCTTGATCCTTTTGGAGTTCCTTTCTCTAGTTTGAGAAAATCAGTGTTGGGGTTTGGATTGAATTTTTTCCGTACCTACATCTCTCTTCACACTTACTTTTTTAACTTATTGTTATGGACATTTAAAAATAGATTCAAATATATAATGTCTTCATGATTTAAGATTACGTGTTATCTCAGGAAGATGTTACATTATGTCATTTGAATTAAGAGTAAGTTAATTTATGGAGTCTACCATTTAAGTTTTTGGAATTACATGTAGCAATAAACCTGGCTCCTGTTGACAGGCGTGTACATCTGCTTGCCAAATCAAATGGTTGTCTCCTAGACAACTGAGGCAACAGAACCCACAGAGAGAAGAGTAAAGCATAGAGTCTCCGTCTCACTTGTGTCAGTATTACTTCTTTTAAAAAAATTACTCCTAGTATTGCATGAAGAATTATAGGAATATCAGACAGTATTGCTCTAATGTTTTAGGGTTACAAAAATATCTGACTCAGACAAAACTTAAAGCAGCCAAAACCTCCCAAATACAAAAATGCAGGAGGATTTTAATGTATGTTATTGAGCATTAGGTCAGCTCTCCTTGCAGAGATGATTAACTATTGAGCAAGTACTAGCTGAGGATTCATCATCATCCTGACCCCTAATAACCACCTTATTATGAATTTAGTAATTACCTTGGTTGTATCTAAATCAAAACAGACTTACCTGGTAATGAAATTTCTATTGCCAAACCTAAGGTCAAAAGAATAACAGAGAACTATTAATTATAGTGTAACGAGTAATCTTTGGGAGACACTCAGAAAAATTAGATTGAGTGAGGTTGAGAACATGTCTCTGAATCTCAGTGGGCGGCATCTGTTTATTGTGGAATATTTTCTTAGGATTGGAAACACTTATGAATAATTGACAGGTGTTTTGCTTTAGCACTAATAGCTGGACATATATTTATAATGCTTAAAGAAGAATTGGTCTAATACTAAGTACATTTTCATCTGTTAACTTTGCCCATATGTAACATTATTCCCTTTCTGCAATCTGTTAGACCTTCCTGGATTCATTTATTTATATAGCATTCAAGTACAGGAAATTCCTCTCAAAAATGGGTTAGGTTACAAAAGTTTATAAACAGTTATTTGGAAAGTTATGATAATTAAATTCACTGAGGATAATGCTTTGAACACAGCTGATTTGCATGAGCAGTTATTTCCCCACAGAAGAAGTATAAATATGACTTGGGTTCCTAGGCCAGCTCTGATTTAAACTATGAGTAGTTAGGATATATTATTTTGGTAGGAGAAACAAAGAAAGGACAATACTATTGGAATAATGGTACTGTAACCAAACAGAAAGGAAACAGAATATTTCACTGTTGGTCTTATTTATCTTGTGAGAAGTCAACCAGATGGCTCTTTAATCCTATGTTCTTTGGGTGATTTAAGTGGAAGTAATGATGGTGGAACTAGTGGGGACGTCAGAATGTGCTGTGAAGCTCTCAGGGTTCTGCTCAGAGATCTGGCATGGAGGTTGGCTGGGTAGGGCACACTGGAGGAGTCTAGTTCATGCCCAACATTGGGTTCAGGTTTTAGTGATCTTGGGCAGAAGTGTCAGACAAGCCTTAGCTATGGAGAGAAGAAAACAGACACGAACAAGCACCTGCCTGGCCTGACAGGACCAAGAAAGTGTCCTCACAGGACAGCATTTCTAGGTGGACAGAGATGGGGGATAGGGAAGGAAACAGCCTATTTTCTGGTAAAGGGTTTAGGAAGAGAAGAAATACAGGCCAACTTGGTAACAGTTTTTATAACTAAAAGGGAACCTGCTGTAGCTGGCAGCCAGTAGCCCCTCAGCTGTGTCTTGGTGAAGGAGCAGGAGAGTCCATTTCTCTCAACTGACCACAGATCCTCGATTGAATCCAGTTGATCGATCCCAGCCTCACAGGAATATAAGTTAAATCAATGGTGGTGGTTTTAAGCCATTAAATTTTGGGGTGGTTAATTACACAGAAAATCTAATTGATGTAGATATATGAAAAAAAAAAAAAAGCTGGATTCCTACCTCCCATCTTTTGTGGGTTCAGAAGCAAGCTGTTGGACACAGAGCTATTGTATTTTTTTATTTCCTCAATTTGTTTGGTGCTTTTTAAATGTGATTACTCTCTTTAGTAATTTCTTTATTTGATGTGACATTTTTGTCAGACTTCTTTAAATATGCTACTGTTTAGTTCTTTGAACATATTTATAATGGCTGCTTTAAAGTCGTTAAATCTGACATCTGGGCTCTCTCAGGTAGTATCTGTTGCCTCCTCTTTTCCCTTTGTATGGGTCATACTTTCCTATTTCTTTGCATGTCTCATAATTGTTAAAAACTGGACAGTGCAGATAATATATTGTAGCAACTCTGGATACTTATTCTCCCCCACCCCTGCCCTCTTCCTCCTTCCCTGAGACTTGTTTGTTTGTTTATTCATTTAGTGACTTGCCTGGGCTATTTAGTAAAATCTATTTCCTGGGCAGTATGAGGCTTCTAATGTTGCTCCTCAGAGAGCAGAGCCCTGTACATACACAGTCACCCTGGGATGACAGTGGTGTTAGCAGGGCTCTCTTTGACTGTCATTTTGCTGTTCTCTCTGTTAAGCTGTCTGCCTCTGTTGATATCACAGCCAGCTGTTAGCCTCCACTAATTGTCACCTCATTGATCTATTGTTTCAACAATGCCCTGGGGCATAAATTGCCCTTCAGTCTCTCTAATTAAATTTGAGCCTTTGCAGGTGTAGCTTTTGAGGCCAGTCTTTGAAGTTTGTGTGACCCAGGATTCTTAGTTGCCTCTTTTTCTGGTTCTAACTGGTAAACTAGCTGGCCTATGGTTTAGCTTGTTGCTCTCATGGAGCTATTAGTCTCCTAGTTGCTTACCACCAAAATCTCCATTATTTTTGAGAACTTGACTTACACTTTGTTTCAAATAAAGTCAGTCCCTTTGGAGAGCACTTCTGAGTTCTCTGTTATGGCCTGCCTCTCCCTCTGGACTAAATCTGTGAACTACTTCTCTGGAGCTGGAGGCAGGGACAATGGCCCACTTTTCTCAGAGTGACACTCCAGCCTATGAGCAGGACACTGGGCAGGGCAGTAGCCTCTGGTCTTCTTGGCTTGCCTCTCCTGATATGGAACCTCCATCCCACGTGTGATCTGGGATTAGGGTGATCAAAGCCCCAATATTCTCTGCCTGCTCTTCCTGGAGTACAGCCTGTGACTGGGGGCTGGGTGGAGCCCTTAATATCTGCCTGAAATTTAACCTTTGCAACAGAGAGCTAGTCTTTTCTGGGGACTGGCTAGGGGATGAGAAATGCTGGACGCTTGTCTCTTCTGGGAAGATATCCTAACCCATGACTAGAAGCTGGCGGCCGGGGGTGGGGGGGGGAGGACAGGGAGCTCCATTGCCTTGGCCATACCTGCTCAGACTGGAGCTTCTGTCATACTCAGGGAAGTGAAGGGAGGTAGCAGGTCATGGCTCAAGTGCCACAGACTCTTGTTCTTTTTACTGAGATCAGGAGATTTTCTTGAATAAGTGTTTCTTTATTGCTGTATGCCCTTAAGATGAATTTCAGAGACTTTAGTTGAGGATTTTTGGTAATTTTCACCAGTTATGGTTGTTTTTCTGGGGAGCAGGTCTGCTGACCTCCTCATGCTGCTGTTCCTGAACTGTTCTCCCTAAGGCCTTACTCTTGCAAT